GCATTTGTTGTTATTGTGGCTCTTTTGGCTTTAATGTCACGCTCACCAAAAAAACACACACACTCTCACACATCTAGAGACGACTTTAAAGAGCAACTTAGCTCTTAGAGTATTTCGTTTTTGATTTCCCTTGATTAATCCACTATGATCAGAAACCACACAATTCACAAAAAAAAATGTTTTTCTTTCTTTCGGTTACACAAAAAAAAAACTGTTTTGTTTGTTGTTTTTGGACCATCAATTGTTATGTTTTGTTGTTCAGGCCAAGAAAAAAGCTGCGCCGGCGACTGAGCGAACGTCTTGCGAAGTGAAGAGCGCAAACAAGACTAAACACAAATCTCTAGGCGACCACAATTTCCCCTGTTCGAAGTCGGCGGCTCAAAAGGGAAGTTTCCTCTCCCGCTCTTGGGATATTTGTAAGCTGTTGGGTGAAGTTTGAGAAACCTATTGCATACTTTTGGGTGCTGAATTAAAGTAAGGGGATATTTTCCTTTCGATGTTTGACTTAAGCTTAACATTATTTTAACAACTTTTTATATGGAAAAACATTAAAAAGAAAATTTTAAATTCATTGGAAAAGTTTGGTTAGACTTTTGTACATTTTTTAAAATTTAAAATTAAATTTAAATTGTTCTTCCCTATTCAATTCCATACTATCTGGCGAATAGACATTTCCCCAAGCCAAGTTCGAATTTCTAAGTTAAGCTTAAAGTGGAGTTGAGAAAAATTCCCGTGGTAAAAGAAACGTACTTATTCTCTCAAGACAAGTTGAAACTTCTCTCTCAGAAAAAAATCCCCCGGCAGATGAACTTTTAGACCAAGCCAACATGGAGCTTGGGAGACCAAGCTGGTCTTATACGAAAACCAGAAATCTCTCAGCACTGCTTGCTTGGTTGTACAAAATGGCGGCTGTTAAGATCAGCATAGAAAACGAAGAACAACAAAAAACGACAAAAACAGAAAGACAGAAAAATACGTAAATGAGAAAAAGGGTACAGAGCGAACGAGAAGAAAACACGTTTTCAGACTTAACGAGTTTTGTCGCAGTCGTTGTTCCAAAATCAACGTGCAACAAGCAGAAAAAGCAGCCAAAAAGGTAGAAACCCGAGAGAAAACGCAAATAACAACAAAAAATATTGTTATTGAGGTTGCCAAAGTGGGCTGCTGCAGCAACAGCTGAAAAGGGGGGCGTAGCAGTTGCGGGGGCACATGCTTGTTTTGATGGTGATGGTTCCTATATAGAAGGTATATAGTATAGTATGCTCGTGATGCTGCAGACCTGGAGGCTGAGTGTGCTTCTTTATCATCTTCTCTTGTTTTTTCGTACTTCTCCTTCTCCTTTTTGTATTTAAGGTTTTGGTTCATGGCCCATTAGCTTTTGTTTTGGGGGCCAGTTTCTCCGGGGCCTTTCGTCGATTCCGCGGAGAAGCCTTGTTTATGTGGCACTCGGGGCAGTCAGGAGAATATTGCGCGCCAAAAGCCTCGAAATCGAAAATCGAAGCCAAGCCAAGCTGAGCGCGCCTTAAAGATGGAAGCTTATCATTAAACAAAAGACGCAAGATGGCCAAAAGCCGCTTAGGGATTTATCCCCCATCTTCTTTATTTTCTTACATGCAGAGAGTAGAAGCAGTATTTTCTTGAATTTATCACCATCACAGAATTTTTTGGGTGGTATAAGGTTTATGCATATTTGATATTAAAATTCAACAAAGAATTTGTTCAAGCTTCAGAATTTTTTAGCTAATATATGAGATCCATTAATCTTTTTATACTGCATTCATTTTGGACAAGCTAACAACTCTTGTAGAAGTAGTTGACTTCCCTGCGATTTCATAACACTTTAGTTGGCAAGCCCAACTGACAATTGCGAATTCGGCTGGAACGTTGACAATTATCATAATTTTTGTGTATAGCTTTGCTGGTCGTGCAGCAGCCGGCAGCAAATTGTTGCAATTACATTGGCATTCCTTTGGATCACACAAAAACACACAAACACCTGCTGTTTTCTGGGTTGGCTAATTAAATTGAAATTCATTTGCCGATTCGCCAAAATCACTTGTCGCCGTCGATTTTCCCCTTCCCCATCAAACCAAAGATCTCCAGCATTTTCAACTCCTCCCCTGTTGTATAATAATTTGCAATTTTTCATGCTGCCAACCGCTAACGGCCAACATCCATCAGCTCATTATGGCCAGGCCAAAACTGGGCGCAGTGGGGGCGTGGTCGATTGGAAATGGGTGCAAGGTCGCCTCCAGTCACCGCAACTCCGCAATAGTTGATCTAAATTAGTCGGTGGTTTCCCAATCGACTCCGTTTCGCCTGGTTAATGCTAATAAAGCAGGTGGAGTTAGATCCGAATTGTTGGCCAAGAATTGGGTGGGCAGTGAGCCGCCCGGGGATAGACACCCAATCCAATCCACTCCCAGACTAACTAAACATACCCCAAGATGCAATGTTGTAAACTGAAGATTTTTTGGTGGGGAGGTAGCCAGTAGCTAACGATTCTAACCATGTCTTCAATATTTTTGACTTAAAACTTAAGTTCTGCCTACCTTTTTCGAAGTTTATTTAAAAAAAACTTGGCACGTTCTTTGTACATGTTGCAATTTGAAAACCATCTGCATTTTTAGGACTAAAAAGTCCTTGCAGCTGAAAATGAAACTCGAAAAAAATGTTGCAGCTGTGCTGTCACAAAATTTCGAAGATAAGACCTGAGCAGTGATGGGGTAAGCAGGGGGGATATACAAGTACTTACACATATATCGGTTATAGAATTGGCTGCGAGCCAATTTATGTGCACAAATTAACAAGCGAAAAGAGCAGAAAACAGAGAGAGAGAGAGAAAACGGCAGCATAAAGGCAATCAAAAGGCTGCCACATAAATTTATGAGCTGCGTCAAAAGAAATCCCCGCTGTGGCCAAGAAAACTGGCGATAAAAACGCGGGGATATCGGAGATATTGAGCTTATGGACGCGTGCTGCTCCATAAAAGGGGTCTTGAAAGGGGTTCCAAGAGGGGGTTCCAAAAGAGGTTTCAAGGGGTTTTCGAGGGATCAACGCGCGCGCGCTCATAAAACTTGAAACCAGGAAAAGGAGCCAAAGCTGGCCAAACTGGTTCTGACTTCATGGGCAAAGTCCCTTTCCTTTTGCCCCCGGTTTGGAACACTGCAAACAAGCTAACATGTCCTGCTCCTTGGCTAAATTTAGCACGAGCTGGCCATCAAGCTCAGCTGGCTTAAAACATTGGCAAGTTAAGAGAAGTTTTTTGGACTTTGAACGCCAGTTTGTTGTTTGCGCGCCATTTTCCAGCCAAAGAAGAGCTAACAAATAGTAAACAACAGCCAAATGCGATTGTAGTTGGCCATTTAAGTACTGAAGTACATGTGGTGGAGCTATACACATATATATATATGTATATATATATGACCATATGCCCAAAGTTGGACATTGGCCACTGAGGGCACTCACATCGCAGGGATAGAAGAAGTTATCATAAATCAATAAGAACGCATGGTTAGCAATTATAAATAGTAGTAATAGGGGGTTTGCTTGGTGGCGATTTATAAGCAATTGCCTAAAACATGAATTTCTGATGAGAGGGTCTGTTTTGATTACGCTAGAAGTCTTAATCAAAAGAATTAATCATAATTTGTGGTTTGAAATAATAGAAAAAATGGTCCAAATTTAGAATGTCTTACATCGGTGAGTTCGTAATTTAAGTTCCAAAATCACTGCATTCTAGGTTGAAAAAGTCAAATTTTTGTCATTTTTCGTACAATTTTATGATACTCCTTATCGAAAATGCGAAAATTGGTTACTTCTATTTTTCTCCTCAAGGCGCAAATAATGTCAAGTTTCCTCAACTGATTTAATTATTTCTTATTCCCGTAGTTATTGGGCAACCCTCTTGGTAGAAAACTTGACTTAAAGCCGTTTGGGCCTTGTTTGGCCAGTTGTTGTCGCCTTTCGGCCAGGCTCCACTCGATTCGGTTGGGATTGTATGAGTACTAGTACTCGTACCCGCACTCACACTGGATTTGTTTGCGCGTTTGCCTTTTATTTGTTTGTTTGGTTTCGTATCGTTTGGCTGGGTTCCTTCGTTTGTTTGTTTGCTTATTTGTTTTGGTCTGCTTTTGGCGCGTGTGCAACGCGACCAACTGTACCAAGATCAGCAGCAACATCAACAGCACTAACAACTGCAGCATATACTGCAATGCTGCAATGATGCTGCTGTGCAGGCAGCTTAATTGAAACGGCAGCAACATCGTCAGCAACGGCAACAATTAATATTAGCTGCCCGTCTCCCTTTCTCCGCTTTTCTCTGGAGACATTGCCGGTGTCGCCAGTCGAGACATGCAGCATAAATTGCAGTTGCCATTACCAGCAACAGCAGCAGCAGCAGCAGCATCAACAAGTCCACGGCAAATTTATGTTTGACTCGTGCTCAAGTCAACTACTAAAGACTTGCTTCGAATGTAAGATAAGTTGCAGTGAGAAAAAAATCAAGATCGATATTAAGGCATTTAATTAGATTAAAATGATTGCTTAAGAAAATGTCTATTAACCAATCTCCTCATAGAAACATGGAAATCTCTTCTTAGACTTAGAAAAAGATTTAAAAGGTTTTAAATTAAACTCTTAATTATTTTAGTGCTATTTTAGTGATATCGAGAATTTGACCTGCTTGATTGCCTTCTTCTTCGCATTAGCAATCCTCAATTGAAAAAAATTGATTTACCTGAACAAAAGAAGCAGCTAAAGAGGATCAAGAAAATTCTTTAGGAATCATCCTTAGGCTCCCTAATGTTTTTAATGCCTAAACAAAAGGCATCCTCAACTTTAAGATAAGCCTATTAGCCAGTTGTTTAAGTCATTAAGAGATTAAAAAAAGTCCTCACAGTTTTATTTTTTTGAGGATTTCAGACAATAAAGATTTAACAACGAAATTAGAACACAATAAACCTATTAAAGGATTGGTTTCCTAGGCAATCCTTATAGAATTAAGATCTCAGATATAAACTTTATACAATAATATCATTTTCAACTAAATGTTTTATACACAAAAGATGACGTACAAAATATGCAACCGAAACATTTCTCCAATTAGAATGCCTTTCTCTGGATTAGAATGGGTGATCGGAGATCATCTTCAGGTTCATTCTCCTCCTTTCTTGCTGGCTAATTACGAGGCCAATCAAAGCTCGATGCGAGTCAATTAAGAGATTGTCGAACAGCTTGCTCGATGGCGATGGCGATCCGTGATCGGGAGCTCGCCACGAGGATCTCCTCCTCTCTCTACTGCTCCTCTTTTCCAGCAATGACAATTGTTACCTGGCGGGGCGATAATATCTATATATATACACAGACAAATATATATATATATATATATGTAGAAGGGAGTTCGGGGGAGTTACCAGAGGAGTTTTGGGTGCAGCTGGTCAACCGGTTTGGCGCGTGCTCCTCGTGCTCCCTTTCTCCAGTCGCTCTGTCTCCGAGTCTCTCTGCCTTTCTATCTGACTTGTATTTTTGCACAAATGAATTAATTAAAGACGACGACGGACCATTAACGAGGAGATCGGGGTGCACTAAGATCAGAGAGGGAAAATACACATATCCAGCAGCTGCTTTTAGAAGTACTCCTTCCCCAGGCGAATTCGCTCCTTCGATTTACGCCGATTGGACACGCCATCCGACTCGTCCATCAATCGCTCCAGCATTTGCTCCTGGTGAGGATTCAGTGCCGCCAAATGAATGTCCCTTGTGGCCCGAAACTTTCCGCAATTGAACAAATGCTCATTCTCCAGTCGCACATAATTCCAAATGAAGCGTCTGTGGGCAAGGGACAGACTACATACTACACTCAACAAAAGGGGAGTACGATATCATCACCTTAATCCATGAAAAACCTCTTTAAATCATTTATCATTTTTAAGCTTAAAAAGTTTGAAAAAGGCCAAAAGTATTCGAAAACAAAAATGGTCGATAGTCTCAATTTAAGAGCCAATCAATCTGCACTAAAAATTTTTAAAATCGCCCATGCTCTCACCTAGTAATCTCGAGAATACTGCAAATGGTCTTCATATTATAAGGAGTCATCAAGTTATGATACAGAATGGCAAACTCCACGGCCCAAAACAGCCGCAGAACCAGATTCTCAATGATCACAAAGTAGTAGAAGGCCTGTGGGTAGACCAATTGCTTCCTCAGGAATATATGCTCTCCCCGGATAATAGTGAATAACCCAAAGTCCTTCATAACATCCCACAAATAGCAGTAGACGGTGGCCACTAAACAACTTGCAAGGAACAGCCAGGTGTACGGGTTGCTGAACGTATTGAGATACCCACCTGCGGTTGAGGATTATAGCATATATGTTGTTTCAGTTTTAATTTTGATCCCATTGAAGGATTTTGATTACCCTCAGTATCTCGTCGCAGCGTGGCGAACAGCACCACCAGAAACGTTGTGGCATATTTCCCGGCATTGATCAGATAGCTTACTGACTTGGAACCACTATCCCGGAATCGCCTCAAGCACTGGGCAAATCGAAACCAACCTGGCAAGCACATGGTAACCGGGACAATCACATCCGGCTCGAAGCAGTGATGCACCCGCTCAGTTCGCAGCCAACTTATCGCAAAGAACCTTAGTATGTAATAGTAATCCACAATGCAGGTGACTAGTGAATTCAGTTGATCTCCCATCCAGAAGTCGGCGAAACCCACATAATGTAACGGAGCGGTGATAACGCGACCCAACAACTTAATAGTCCACCATCTGGCTGGCCAATTCATGATAGGCAGTGGCAGCACTAAAAGACCCACCATAATCAGGATTAGGGCCAAAGGGAAGACAAAGGGATCCGATATGCCCATCGAGTCGTGGTGCAGGAAGCCCAGCATGGACAAGGACCAAAGAATCCCAAAGGTGCACGCGATCTCCAAAAATGTGGCAGGTTGCAGATGACTTCTGGGATCGATCTCGAAAATCAGGACATGATTGACACCGGCCTGCTGCCATCCGGCCACATTGGCCGCCATGTAGAAGTTAAAGATCACCCAAGTGAAAGGACCACGGAACATGGGCATCAGACCAGGGGTATGATCATCCGATGGCGCTCGTTTCCAGTCTACAAATCGTGATGGGAGCAGGAGGATTTAAAAAATATTCTGAGATGTGTCCTACAAACCCGGCAATGCCCAGTCTCTATCAGGACTTAATATAAATTTAATGTTTATAAATATTTGCAGAAGAGATTAAACAAGGGTTGTCCAAAAACTTATAACTGGGCATTGAGGGATGAGGAGAGCAACTCTAGAACCCTGGAATCAATTCTTTCCCCCAACAACCTACAGCTTATTGCGGTAGCCAGGAGCAGCATGATCAGCGCGCCCAAGGCAATTCCCGCCCGGAATACCATCGCCGGCGGAGTGGGTTCGCCCAGCGGGGGAACTCGTAGCTTTTCCATGGCCAACGATCGATCCCCGTTCGCCAGATGAATAGTATAGAGATCCTCCACCTCGGTGGTCATGCGCTGCAACTGTCGTCCATCCGTAAAGGGAGCATCGACTATATTGTCATCAAACCACTTGCCCGCTGCTCCGGACTTTAGATTTTTGTCATACTTCTTACAGATTTTCCGGAAACCCGTTTCATTTAGAGACTGATAGTTTTGGATGAGAACGAGGCTCAGATAGAACTCGGCATAGGCATATCTCAGCTGCCGAGTAGTCATGGTCTTCTTCTGGATCCTTGAGGAATCAGTTCGTAGAGAATGGATCGAGGAATCACTGGCTGTATGTCCCGGCACCCGGGAATTGGCCAAAAGTTGAAGCTTCAAATGGCCATGCTTTCGCCGAGCTTCCAAAAGTTTCTCCAGAAAGAAGTTATTCACTCCAGTTAGTTCGGTTTGGCATTCCGTAAGGAAGGCCTCTTCAAAGGCCCTGTAATAGGACTGAATCTCGTAATCGGAGGCAGTTAACGGTGAGGGCGCATTCTCAACGCCTTTTTTGATAAGCTCCTTGAGATCCTTTTCATTGTGGGCAGGATTATGACAGGACTACATTTAAAGCTAGCTAACCAGCTTACCGCATATCGCATATACTGCTGGCGCCACTCGATCGTCAGGTGGGACTCGAAGGTCTTACCAAACTTCATCCTTGGCACGGGCAAGAACGCCCCCAAGGCGTGGCTGCTATATAGCTAAAGCTAGCTGGAATCGTCAGGCTCTACAAATTCTGACATCTTTCTCCTGGCAGTACCTACGACTAACACGAATTCCCAACAAAAATAGATGTATTAGCAACGTTTCACAATTAAGAAATAGTACCTCTTTTTTCAAAATCCTAATGCTTGCAACAAATGAGCAGGTGTTGACTTTCTCATTAACTTGTTTAATATTATAAATAATGAAATCTAAAGAGACAGGATACACAATCGTATTAATTTATTTTTAAATAAGTAATTAATTACTGCAGTATTTTCTTCACAAACTGCTGCATGTCTGAGTACACTAATCCAGCCAGCAGACCTTTGTGCAAACACTGGTTCCCCAACTTCCCTTGATTGTGAGTCACTTCCTCGATCTCATTATGCGTTCGCACGCTGTTCCTCGTGGATCGTCTTCCTGTCCATCAGAATGAAAATCCCCAACCAGGTGAGTCAGTTAAGTAAAGAAAATGTACACTCTTTGAAATGCCAAGTTCACGTTGAGCGAACCCGAAATTGCAACTCACCGAAACGGTAATGCCCCCTACACCGATCCCAAACGTGGCTTATCAAGGGTTTTGCAAAATATAAAATTGAGATATAAATAGAATTACGTATTAGATAAGGAAAAAAAATAAGAGTTAACAACTTGGGCTCGTCCGGGAATTGAACCCGGGACCTCTCGCACCCGAAGCGAGAATCATACCTCTAGACCAACGAGCCAAACACCCTATGTGAAAATGAGCGGCGAAGTAGCCCATAGGAAGTCCAGGCTCACAAAGTGGAATTGCGAAATCAACAAGTGCGAACTGCCACAAAGACTAGGAACAATTCTACATTACACTTTCTGCGCGCTTCGTTCTTCATACTCCAATCTTCATTCTTCGGATCTTGTGAGGTTTCTTCTACAGGAGATAGCTCGAGGGTGACGATCCGTCGACGCCTACGACAAAAGTGCCGCTAGAATGACAACCGCAAACGAAAACCGAAAACAAAAGAATAGTTCAAGATTCTCAAGAACTTCTCATTGTTGTTCTACTATTACGCAACTTGCTTTGCCAGATCCAAAGGCAATAGCCGTTAATTTATGGGCGTATAAGAATTAATTGACAAAAAACAAAAAAAAAAACAAAAAAGAAAACATCAAAAACCGGCAGCCACCACAAATCGATTTGTTACTTTAAATCGTATTAGGAGCATTTAACCCGGAGCCATTTAAAGAACGTAAGACATTCTGATTTCTGATTGGGGTCACAGGGTAGCGCCCCTTTTTGCAGCCAATCGGAATTCCAGCTCGAATTCGTAATTAATTAGCCGCCTGGGTGAGGCCTGCAGCTAGACAAATTGTTTAGGGGTTTGGTCTGGGACCCAATCTTATGATATGCGAAATTTTGTACCCTTTTAAGCCTTCTTCTCGAGCTTGGGTAAAAGTGGTAAAAAAAAAGTCTCTGAAGAATCCATTAAAGCTTAGTTTCACACTAAGTTATCTTGAATATATAACTATTAGATAATACAAAGACATACGAGGTGTGTTCAAAAAGTAAGGTGACTCTTCAAATTTCGCGAATTTCAAATTTTTCGATTATCGATTTTTTTGTTTTGTTATATTGGTACACTCTTCCCTAACATCTGTACCAAGTTTCAATGGAACATCCTCTTTTGTTTGGTTGTGAGAGGCGTAAAGTTACAAGTTGTTTTGCGAGCTCGGCGATTTTTTGCTATCGAAAAATATGGATCAAAGGATTTGGATTTTTTGGCCAAAAACAACACCACAATAATGCCTCAGCCACCATATTCACCGGATTTGGCCCCATGTGACTTTTTCTTGTTCCCAAAACTGAAGATAATCGAAAAATTTGAAAAATTTGAAATTTGAAAAGTCACCTTACTTTTTGAACACACCTCGTATAACTTCTAAAAGGTTTCGATAATCGAAAAATTTGAAATTCGCGAAATTTGAAGAGTCACCTTACTTTTTGAACACACCTCGTACATATTACAAGTCCTGACCCCACAAATTTATGAATTATAAAATAAATAATACTTATTATGCAATTAGAAAATTAAATTACACAATAAGTGCAATACGAAATGAGGGAAAACGTATTAAAAAGCATTAAAGTAATGATTTCTTTATATACGTTAAGCATACAATTAGTAATAATATCCATAATATGATATGCGGAAAACAAAAGGAAGCCCATCTTCACGCACTGCCCGGCAGGTTAGGGTCCATGGCTCCTTGCTGCAATTTTCGCAATCAATCAATTAGGGAGGAAGATTGAAGATCCAAGATCGCTTCCTCCGCTTCTCGAATGGCGCCAAAACGGAAGCTGATAGGCCAGCAGTAACATCCGATCGTTGTTGGGAACAGATACAAATACATTTACATAGGTGGACAAGTGTTGGTCATATTATAGGTGGTTTTACCAGGTGCTCTAAGCGGTCCCCACCCAATGCCAACTTCCGTTTTGATTGAGCCCACAATTGGCGAGTGCTGACAGACCATAATAATCTTGACCAGAACTCCGCAACTTGTGCAACTTCCGCGCTCCAATTGTGCAAATTATGGCATCGCTCAGGTGTAATTACAAATGTCAGTGGCTCGCCAATTGCCAATTGCCAATGCGTAATTGGCTAATTGAATTGCCTGCCATTGATCGTTGATCGTTGCATCGTTGGACCGATCGCTGATCGGCTATCTGAAGACCAAGCCCACATCCACATTCACATCCGATCATCCATCTTGCCTATCTGCCAAACATCCCAAAACATCAATCATCCGATTTCCCCTAACCAAAAAAAAAAAAACAAAACTAAGAATCTCAGCCGGAATCTGTATTCCATGTTTTCTGGTCTTATTTTCCGGGTGGTCTGCTCCAATGCCCTCTGATCCCAGATCTCCAACTTAGCTCCATTCTGTGGGTGGCTAATGGCTTAGACAAAAACCCAAAGACCACACATTCTCTCTGCACTATGCACTCTTCTCGCTTTTCCATTTCCCAAGAACAGAAGAAATCACACACACACACGCAATGCGATGCGGGATGTGGAGTTTTGGGGAAACTCAAAAAGTTGCCGAGTTGCCTTAAAGCATAGCCTGAAGCTCGATTTCGCCATTGAATACCGATTTCAGGTGGAATCTAGATCAGGAATCCCGCAGGCTGGCGAATTATTTTATTTTGGCTCACCTGCGGGCTACAGTGGGTTAAGTGATTTGGGAAAATATCAGGCTTTATGTTGATGTCTTACAAAATTAATGGTTAAGGCCTTAATTCAAGGCACAGTTGAATAAGAAAATTAATGGGTAACAGCAAAACAAACATATTTAACTATTTTCAGCCAGAGAATATCACAAATAAACCGTACTTATGTTGTGGGCTTACAGATATGTTTTTAGACAACTATTTATTTAACTTTTTTTTTTAAATATTTATATCAGCCAACTGAAATAAACAAACTGGTTTGACAATAAAAAGAAAGTTTGACTAATGATTTTCTATTCATTAGGTGTGAATTAATTATTAATTGGCCATTAACAAAAACGAAACTAAGTCTTTAGGCTTATATTTTCTTAATATTTCACATTTATGGAAAATTTAATGAACATATTATTTCAAAAATGTTTGGTTAGTCATTTAGGCCAATATTTTCTTAGAAACATAAAAGCATTTTTGCGAATTCAATAAGTGCAATTTATACTTTTCGCTAACACCACTTCAAAATTGGTCATCCCGTTGGACTTGATTATAATTATGTGACCATAAAATTCGACGAAAAGAAAGCAAAACACCATATTAGAAATTGAATTAGAAGTGAAAAACTACCAAAGTAACGAACATGACAGGAAATGGGCATTATTCTGGGCCCGGCAATAACAATTACAACAGCCATGGCCATTACACTTACAATTACCACCGAAAAAACGAGGGAGACATGAAGAAGTATTTCTAATCTTGCCGCCAATGTTGACGCTTTCACCTTTATTTTTATCTCGAAGTCCGTTTTTTTTTCTATTTCGTTTTTTTTTGGCCGAGATTCAATGTCTGACCACGGAAATGTAAATGGAAATGTAAATGCCGTGTAAATACAAAGCGGCGAGCAAGCTAATTGAAAATGCAACAATGGCTCAGCGGAAGTGCAGCGATTCAGGTTGACTTCGAATTGATTTTGGTTGCCTTGTGATTGATTGTGTCTCAATTAGAGCCAAATTGCCCCGGCTGTGACAACTCAGCAGAAAATAGAAAAAACAAACTAATGAGATTCGTTTGATTGGGGTCTGGACCATCAATCGATTAGCTAATGAGATCCCCCATATCCATTCGAATCTTTTTAATGCACCTTGGAAATAACGAAAGATTTGGGTTTAGTATTAGAAAACAAACATGACTGTGTGAATAAAAAAATAAGAAAATAATTATATAATATATAAATAAATAAGACTTTTATAAGTATTACCCAACTCTATCAAAGATTACAAATTCAGGTGCAAAGGTTTATTGATTTCTGTAAATTTTCCCTAGAACTATACTCTACCAAACAAATCGGAGATCTTGAAAGACAATCTAGGAAGTTGCTACGATAAATATGCATGAGATCCCTACAATGTAACCCGAAATGGGATTGCAATCAGAATTAATTTTCCCGTACTGGGCAACTTCATTAGGAGACTAATTGAGACATAAATGTAGGGAGAGAGAGAGAGAGAGAGAGAGAGGGGAGGAAACCCGGAAAACACTTTCCATTTGGGCTACCGTTTTTTGTTACCAATGGGGTATGGGCTATGCCACGCACATATCCAAAGAAAATCAATTCGGAAACAAAAGACTTCGGACACGAACTCGAAACGAGAAATGGTAACAGTTTAAAAGGTTCATTGAACATCGGACAACTCATGGACAACTTTCGAATGGCCAACATGGACGACATGATGTTGCCATGTTGTTGTTGCCACAATTACCGAAACAAGATCGAAGTGCTTGGTTTTCATTCGGAATACGAAATGCGGGTGCTAACCACCACCTCAACATTCGCTTTCTGGCCCTGAAACAACAATGCCGACCATGATGCTGGCCAAAAATAAAACATCGTGCTCATGACTTTACATTTGCTTGCGCACAACGATTACCAAATTTAAATAAAGTTTGTCATTTTCTTGAGGTATTGAAGGGAGGGAGGTTTGCTTTAATGAGCAGTGAACAACAATTAATGAACAGTCTCGTTTCAGGAAAATATACAAAGTTAATTTATGCAGAATACGTCTTCAAGTATTTCTGATGGACTCTTCTGATGGGTAAGGTAAATAACATAATTATTTACAGTGTTTGTATAAATATTATTACAAGTCACTGTTCTATTTATATCTTAAACAAAATGAAATATGTTACCAATTGCTATGCAAATCACATTCATCGGAAAACCAAATACAAAATGCCAATTAAGAAACTAAATCATTTTTTGCGGTTTAATCGTAAAACCACAATTATGCATACCAATCCGACTGTTGATTTTACAAGGCATATTCTGTTTTTTTATAACCAAATTTTAATACCTTTTGAGAGCATTAAAACCCCTATCAAAACAGTTTAATTCGAGCAACCTGTCTTCCATATGTAACCCCTATTCTGGTTGTCAAGTTGCCGTCTTGTTTAAACACATATACCTACATACATGTGTATATATAGGCATAAGCCCGAGCGATCTGGTCAGGGTTTTTAGTCTTTACCAAAAGGGGAAATAGACCCCTTTCCGACTTAACTTTTAAGCCAGACAGGAGTCGAGACAAAGACGCTTCTTTTCGGCCAAAAGAGCTCTTCTTTTCACAGGCAGCGCCTTCGAGCGGAACCGTCTTGGATCAACCTTTTCGCTGTTTTTTTTTTTTTGCAGCTGCCCCAGCGACAGGTGTACCCAAATCCCACATATCTACATACATACAAGTTCAAAATGGCAGTGGAGGTACCAAGTTTATATATTTTTGACTGATATTCTATATGAAGAAAATACTTTTCCGATCACAAAAACCATCTTTTGGTCACCTTTGGCACACGCACTTGCCCTGAAAGTTTTCTCACAATCTTAATGACAGCCAACGGACAAGGCAGCGGGGAAATCATCATTTGCTTTTGGCCATAAATATCAAATTCATATTAGTTGCCAACCAAGTGGAACCCCCTCGATCCGTCGAACCGACCCGTTTGTTTGGCTTATCGTGTGAACTAATCTCGAAGTCGTAGTCGGAGTCTTCAAGTCTCGGAACTGGAGTCGTAGCTGTGAAATGATGTGCGAGTCTATGAGCATAATACTTCCCCCATAATACCCTCCCCCTCTTACCCCTTTTGGTACCCCAATGTATATGTATATCATGGACCGATTGTTGACCGTCTACGCTGAAATTGAAGCCCAGGAAAATGGTGCGACTGGAAGTTGTTTGCAGCTACTTTATTACACTCGGCACCACAAAAGACGTACACCAAGACGTTCGTCTGAAGGTTTCCCTGACTGATATGTATATATATATATATATAGGTATATATATCGTTTTTGTCGCCGAGAGACCCCTCGTTGCAGTTGAGTGCCCCCGACTACGGCAAAAGAAACACATTAAAAGCATATCAAGTGGAATCATCGGTGTGTTCTCAGCGTTTGTCAGTTACAGGTTGCAACTTGCTGCTTGCAACGCGCAGGTTGCCAGTTGCCTGTTGCTAGATCTAGCGGAAGCTACTTCCTAAAAAAAAAAAAAAAACACTGTTGACTTTGACCAGAAAGAAAGCCAAAAACAATCAATTCACTTTGTCTTTGGTGATCTTTCGTAGACAATGGATCTGTAGATGGTAACAAAATCAAAGCTGGCAACTGTCAACAAATGTTTTATTTTTGGGCTTGGCCCACGCGATTTGGCCAGATTTGATTGCCATTGTCTGCATGTTGATTTCTTTCCATTACGTGGCATTGTCTGCTTACGAGTGATTGTCGGGGTGTGTATAGTTTAGAAAAGACTATGTAAAATACACAGAAAAACGCATTTTTATAGGGTATATATGCAAGTCGAGCTACATATAGATTGTAAGTCCCTCGACACATATCGTGTCGCCTTATGCCACGCCTTTGATTTTGTATGTTGCAAAAGCAGCAGCCATGTAAGAGAAATAAAACTAAAAACTGAAATAAGAGCACATGCCGTCCGTGCAATTAGTTTAATGTTAGTGGCCGCACCTAGGCCTCGCCTCGCCTCGCCTCAAGATCTCCGCTCCAGATCTCCGAACCCCAAGCCCCCCAATTCCACAACACTTAACACTTAACACTCTACACTATCCCAACTCTCAGCTTCCAACTCCCATTTCAACTCGAAAAGCTGACGATCCCATTCGAACGGGTCGATTGGATGGGGTTAACTACTGTATCTGGTTGTAAGTGAGTCATGGCGATCGAAATATATCTAATCGATAGTTGAAAAGCAACGCCGAAAGACAGTTACACAAGGGCAGGCCATTATCTGATGCAAATCGGTGTGAGGATGATCAAATACCCAAATATTACTATTTATGGTTAATATGGCAGATTATTCCCTGTCGAAATGGACTATGAAATTGGTTAAGTCTGTGAGAATCGTTGGCATATTCAGACTTTATATTATTATAATCAACAATATACCGAAAAAGGTTAATTTTTGTTGCAAATTTTCTAAGATTAATCTCGATATCAAATGAGAATTGTAAACATGTAATTCTGTCTGATTCCAATCAGAGTAGTTATATTTACAGCAGAGCAAATCGACTTGTACTATCTCTAGAGAGGGATCTTTTTTTTGCAAACGTATTAACGATAAGTGGGAAAGTTTCAACTTGTTCATCTTTCATCTAGATATACCTATGAATAAACTAGAGCTGGAACCCCTTGTCTGACATCCCATTTCTTGTTGCAATCGGACTAATTGTTGTACGAACTTTAATTTTGCATAATTCCCCCGGCATAACCCCATTTTCGAGGAGGGGCCACTGCCAGGGCAATCATTAATATACAGATTTATGTTTATTAAGAGTTGCTCACTAAATTTATGCAACTGGGTGGCGCTCTCGGTTCCTCGAAGACCTAAAAGAACCAAAGAACCACTCCGCTCTGCCCTGGGCCAACCAAACCGACAATTGGCCATGTGAAAAGTTTGCCTTGACTGGGAACTAGCAAACGGAGACAGTGAACTCACTGTTCAAGGGAAGATTGAAAAACTGTTGACTAGAGACTGAGGACGGGAGACCAAAGACCAAAGAGTGGGTGGTGCATCTGTGGCGCCCACATCATTCCAACTTGACTCACAAACTCTCTAGCAGCCAATTAACACAATTTCGACTGTTGATACTGAAGGTTGTCAAATATATCTACTGGAGGCCATCAATAATGGTAGTTGCTGGTTTCAGTTAAATTAAAACTCCATTTCATGGGAATAAAAATCGTAGTCTTTGTCAAATGCAAACACTTCAGGAATAATATTAAATACACGGTCTTGTACCATATTTATGATTTATTTACTTAAAAATATATATAATCAAAAGCCTACCTGCACGGCACAGTTGAGGAAGCAGTTGTTCTGTCCGGGACCATTGAGCAGTCCCTTGGAGGAGGGTTCCAAAGTTGGTGACGTCAAACTATTGGGCGCCCTCAGTAATTCCAGAATGCGATTCCGTTCCGATCCATTTTGTATAGAACCCACGGCATATGGCTTGGGCTGATGGCCATACAGACTGTTTGTGGGCGTTGCGGGTGTGGCAGCTGCGCCACTGGCCAAACGATACAGTGTACCCGGAGTGGTCATTCTGCTTCCACTTCTCGCTGACATCCAAAAATTGAGCTGCAAATGGAAGACAAAGGAAGAAAGGGTTTAGAGACAAGTGTCACTCAAACAATGGATAGATTCCCTCATGACAGCTTAATGTTGACCCAAAACCAAGGTGTCTAAAATGTCCAAACATCACTCCATGTCAGTGGAGAAACCAAGACTCCAGATCTCAGATCTGTGATTTGAGATCCAAGATTCAAGATGATGTGGGTTGGCCCTGACGTGTCGCCGGCAATTAGTCGCAGCTGTGAAAATTCCCTCATGCAAAGCAGAAGCGTGATCACGAAGGTGGAATTCGAGTACTACACGGAAACCCCAGATGTGTTGGGAGGTCACTGATTTTGTAAACTCAAAAAACTACAGCCTAACATGAAAGAAAAACCACCTAGATATTGTATTATTTATAAAAATAGGTAAGGTAAAATTATAGAACTAAGGAAAACAAATATCATTTAACTTATTCCTAAAGAATTAAATTGATAAATATTTTTTGTTCAAAGCCATTAAGAAGTGTGCTAAAATCGTTTAACCCTGGACAATTTGGCATAAATAAATACGAAATCAACCTATCCGATTAGTGATTGTGTTTGTAATTATACATACATGGTTATAAATATTAATGAAGTGAAATCAATGATGGCTTAAATCCTTATCGATTGCCCAAACCGGAATGAAATCTTCTAATCTTCAGCTAAAAAAAAAAAAGAGTTCTGCGAGTGAAAGTCAAGAAAGCCAAGATCGGATCGGATACTATAGATATATTTCTCTTGAAAGCCATGCAGACATCTTGCGTGAAGTGGCGTGTCGTGGTTATTTGTGTCACTTGGCGGAAATGGCCAACTGGGATTATGCAACCGTTAATTGCAGGCCAGCCATCGTCATTCGCAATTCATTCATCAAATTGCACGGCACGGCCGAGACATTTTTTGTTATCTTTGTTTGCCCACATTTTCTGCTTTGCAATGCGAGCAGAAATAGTTGAGCATAGCCCAGATGCCAACGAAACTTTCTCAAAATTATACATATATAGTTTCTTATAAAAAAAAAAACAAAGTAATAAAGTAAAAAAGAAAAGAAAAAAGATTTCTTTAATCAGGTTCCACCGAGATTTGAACTCGGATCGCAGGATTCAGAGTCCTGAGTGCTAACCATTACACCATGGAACCCACATGTCGACCGCCGACCAAAATGTCGTTTATCACTTTCGTCTACGCAATGCCTAGAGCTATTTTTAGCTGCCGATAGCAATAATTAAAAATAGAAATGCTGAATCTGTTTTATTCTGGACTTAGTTGGAATTTTTTCATTTAATATATTCCACCTTTGTTTTAATATATTCTTCCTGGAATATATTAAATTTTTAGAGCTGAGCCCATTTACAAAGATAGCTTATTTTGTGTTAAATATTAACTAAATTCATATGCACTCAAATTTCAAATTCCGAACACAAATCAGTTTGATAAATATGTTTTTGTAATGGCCGAACATTTGAATATTGTATTCCAATCCATTTCGGTATTGCCCTTAATTCCGGGAATTAATTTTTCAAGTGGAAACCCGAGACCTGTATGGGTGCGCATGAAAATGAAAATAAAATATCAAAAAACGAAAATCGAGCCCAGAAGTCGAAAGATTTTCCCAATTCCCAATGGTCAATTTAAGTTTTTATGCGCCGAACGTTGCTAATTGATAAATGCTGCCATAGGGCAACCGTTTCACCTTTCCCGATCCGCTGCACCCTAATTAGCATAATCTTCCCGAGCAACAGTTGCACCTGCAACAAAAACAGTTTTGCATATTAATCGAGTTGGTTGGAAAAAAAAAACAAAACAAAAAGAACAAATAAAGTCACGTGGAATGGGGCAGCGGCATTTCAATTGCTGTTGCGTGAAATGCAACAATTTGTGGCAGCAGCAACAGCCAATCAACATTCGACATCGTCTCGCTGTCAATTCAATTTTAGGATCTATCACTGGGCCATGCAACATCATAAGTGCGGATAAACTTTATAATTTTCCCCTGCTGCTTTTGTTTTTTGTTTTCGGATAATTAAGAAATTCTTGTTAAATTACAAGTGAACCAGACGAAAAAACGTGGCAATGCGAGTCACGCAATCGTAAATGCTGCTTTATGACTTTTTCTCTTTACCTAAATGAATTATTAAATATTTCGCAAAGATATGAGAGATATTTATCGAGAAATAAAAATATTATTGATTGGATAAAGACGTTCATAAAAAAGTGATCTCAATGATGATTGTTAAAAATATAAACTATTTTTCTCATTGAAAATGATTGTAAAACATTTCCCAATTCTATTTCGGATATATCATAAAAGTACTCTGTTTTATTTTTCAAGAATCTTCAAGAGGGCAATTAATAATAAAGTTGTAAGTTTCAGGAATTTTGTGTATAAAAAACAGAATTTCATCACCGAAAAGTGGGCCGTGGATACCTTCTTTCTCATCCCAATGGGCAGGCCACACACATATCTTCGTCTTTTGCTCGGTCACGCACTCAAATTTTCGCGACAATTACGCAGACTTCAGGCTAATGGGTTCTGGCCAATCATTATGTTGTTGCCTTCCGGCTTGGCCCGAGTCTTAACCCATGCTGGCGCCACCAGATCGGTCCATTAGTCATGAGTGGCCACTGGTCAGAGGATAGGATAGGTACATATACTCGTGGATAGTGGAAGTGGATTGACCTCGCCGGGAAAACGTGACATAATGCAAATCACACTGGGGGCAGATAATGGACCAAGTGGCTTGCTGGCCACAATAAAAACTTAAAACAAAATGAATTGGTTAAAATGAAAATGGGCTTGGTATATCACTGGCCGGCAGTTTCTACTGTTTAAATTTAAAAAATTCTTGGAGAAAAATTTGATATCCACAGAGCACGAATTTGTGATTCATTTTAAGGTTTTTTAATACCATTTCCCTTGGGACTTGACCATTTTAAAATGCTACCATTAAACAGCTTATCTTATCTTACCTTTTCTTTTGTAAACAAACATTATGAAAATTGGTAAACTAATTGAAAACGGATTACTGTAAGACGGATTTAGAGTGCAATCCAATCCAAACTGGTGGGGGTCAGGGGAACTTTCTTCACTCTGCCACAGATTCTTGTGGTTCCATTAGACCGGGAATTCAAGCTTCCATGCATTTGCCTCGGATTTTCCCCTGGATTACCTACCTTCAGTCTACATGACTGACAATTACAATAGCTCAATCAAGTACACAGCCACCTGCCTTCGGAAATACTCATGGTACCGAGACCAAGGGGCCTCATCTCAATGCTGCCTTCGTTAGCCCCCATCCCGATGATTAGGCCCCAATTGCTCTAGAAACTATGCCAAGAATGTTGAGCACCTGTTGGCATCATTTCTGCAGCAGGCAAACGAGTGGCTTGTCTCCGACCCTGAGAAATCAATGCAGTTTCTTCTCATTTCGCCTTTGTTTATCGACTCAGCTCGACTTTGCTCCCTCCACTGCAGTGCACTACGAATGAAACGGTTGAACGTGACGGAGTTATGAACTGAAAACTAGCATCTCTTCTACAGCTAAGCTATATATCTTGCTGGACTGGAATATTAAAAAAAAACAAAGAAAAAAAGTGGGAGCTGAATGTGCCCACGTGTTGCTGCTGCCTTCTCCACGTACTTAATTTGACAATTTAACGGCCAGCTTTTCGTTTCGGAACTTACACCCACACAAAACTTACTCTTCAGATAACGCGTTCATCTATTGAATATGCCACCCACACACCGCCCGAGCACCTGAGTGCACTGAAAACTATTTTTCAACTTCTTTGTAGTCCGACCATTAAGCTCAAACTTTGTCAAAACAAGACGCACTGCTAAACGCATTTCCTGTAAGGGGAACATATCATCAAAATCATCTGAGAATACAGATTTATTGGAATTTTAATTAAGATCTCAGGGATGTATAACATTCAAAATTTAGATAATTATTTCCAATTTTATAGGAAATAATCGAATTATTTTTGCTCAGCGAAACTCAACAAAAATGCAACCAAGTTAAGCGAGTTAAATTGAACTCCAGCGGACTGAATCGAAGTCCATTGAAGTTGGCACGAGTTTGGAGCACTGCCAACAAATTGCGGCGCATTCCAGTTGCAAACTCAGGTGCAGACATTAATTTGGCATTCCCAATTGTCGCGCATCAAATCGGTGATCGACTTGCAGCCTAAATGATGGACTTAGTGTTGCTGTTTAATTTAATGGAATATATAACTCAATATTAACAATTCCACATAATTATTCCTACAAAATTTATTGTCTAAATATCAGCATCCCAAATTTGTATTTAATCTTTATGGGAAATCAAATACTTTTTTGGGACAATAAGGGACGTAAGAAATACAAATAAATAATATTTTTTGTAGTATTAATCAGATATCTGTTAAATAGTTAAGCTAAATACATACACACCCTTTAAAAACGAAGAAACCCATATACCCATACTACTCTAAGTAAAAAACACGAAGAAAAATGGATGTCTTTGTGCGGAAAATTTCAGCGCGAAAGCGCTAAAACATAAATGCTCGAGCTGGTCGGATTTGGATTGAGATTGGGATTGGGTGAAAAGGGGATACGGGTACGGGTACGGGTACGAGTATGGGTATGGGTACTTTACTATACTGTCCCATAGCGACCGCGAAATCGAGAACTGCCAAGACAATGGCTGATTGTGACTGACAGTATAATTTATAGTTTTGCGATTTGAACTGCGTCGCAGCCGGGCATTTGACTTTAGTTGCCGACAAAGAGTTTGCCGAGATCTGCGAACCATCTCTTTCAGAGTTCTGCAACTCTTCAGGTCTTCAGCTTCTAGCAGTCCATCTATGGTATGTGTCCACTGTGGCGTGAGGAACCAATCAAATGGAAACGTAGCGAATCGGAACTTTGTGTGTGGCACAACCGCAGATGTCAGTTATGACAGCGGTCATCTCGGATCTCGGATCTCGGATCGTGAAGCTCGAATC